TTCCCTTCCACTTTTTTTTTTTTTTTTTTTTTTTTTGAACCCCTTCCTGTCATTTTTGCCATACAGGGTTTCAGCAGTGCGTTGATACGTGGGGAATACATACCGCTACTGCTGCCAATAGTCTTAATAATAATGCTATTTATTTTATTTTATTGTTACGGCGGTGCGGCCCGGTGCGCGCCTTACTGATGGGACCGCACCTTAGTCTCCAGCTGGTTGCGTAGCTTGCCCTCCTGGGTAGCTTTCTCAAACAGTTTGAAGCTGCTTCTTTCTTATGGCCTGGTCGTGGAAATCATCTCCCTATTGAGAAGTGAGTAGGTTCCATCTTTTGCCTCCATTTTCCCACGAACTCTACGAAGTGGGGGTAATTATCCTCTTCCATCAGATGAGGAAGATGATCTTCGTCTAGGGCGTACAGTCCCGTCCTCCGCATCAATATGCCTCTGGCTTGCTCCATCGCGGTGCACGATACAACCACGTGCTCAGCCGAATCAGGGGCACCACAGTCGGGGCATGAGGGGTCGATGTTCTTCCCATGCTTCCTGAGTTTGTCTCTAAACCCCCCATGTCCCGTCAGGATCTGTGAGGTCCAGTAGTCCGGTTCGACCCAATGTGCTTCCAATTTGGAATGAACGGTGGGGAAGTATTTTCTCAAGGTGGCTCCATTCTCACTTGCAATCCACCGCCCATTCCACTCCTTTAGTGTCGCCTCTCGGACTATGCCACTCCATCTGCCTGGATCCCCACAGACCCTCCGTTGAAGCCCCTCTGGGAGTGCTTCCAGTCCCTGCCTCTTTAGGTTATTCCTCCAAGCGTCCTCCTGAATGACGAGGTACAGATGCAACTCCCCGGCCAGCACTTGCACCGCTTCGTGGGACACGGTTCTGTAAGTCCTAGTCGTCCTCATCAGGGCGAGCCTTTGGATGGTGGCCATCTTCTTCTTCTGCACCTGATTCAGGTGACGACTCCAAGCTGGGGATGCATACCTCAGTATACCCAGCACAACTCCCTTGTAGATGATTCTTGTCGCTGGGTATCTGAGGCCCCAACAGGCACCCCCTACCCGTGCAAGGCCATTTAGGGACAGGGCCACTCTACCCCGTAGGTACTCTATGTGAAGAGAAATATTAAATTTTGATTTAAATCTCACGCCTAGGTAGGTGATCTCCTCACCTAGGCGGACTTTATCTCTTCCTACTCTGAGATTAATAGGATGGGCCCTGTCCGTAGAACCCTTCAACAGTATGGCCTGGGTCTTCGCCGCCGCCATCTTCATTTTCTTCTTTACACACCATTCTTCGACTATGGTGGCGCATGTTTCTCCTTCCGCCACCAATCTCGCTTTGCTATTCGCTGCTACTATGACAGCCAGGTCATCAATGTAGGCAACGGCACCGAAGCCCGCTACCTCCAATTCCCCCAGGAACTGATGAAATACTAACTTCCACAGAGCCGGGCCCAGGACTGAGCCCTGTGGACATCCTCTTTCTATTTTCCGTTCCATCTATAGAAGGTACCCCGTATCCTAGCTTTTCTGTCGCTGAGGTACCCCCTAATGAGGGAGTACAAGTTGCTGGGGGCGTCGAACTGTTGGAGGCGCTGAAGTACGCAGGGCCACCATACACTACCACAGGCGGAAGATATGTCGAAGAGGACCATCATGGCATATTTCTCCGCCTTGTCATCAACCTCCCTGCGTAATCTCATCAGGGTATCTCCGGTGCCGCGCCCCTTCGTGGATCCGTATTGCCTCGGGTGACTCGCTGCCCGCAGGACTGGCGCCAGACTCTTTATAATGAGGTGCTCCAGGACCTTGCTCATTACAGAGAGGAGGCATATGGGTCTGTAGGATTTTGCTAGCTGCTTGTCCTTGCCTCCCCCTTTGTATAGCAGTCTCATGTCGGCGATCTTCCATTGAGTTGGGAAGTGCCCTCTATCCAAACATTCATTCATTATCTCAAGTAATTCTTCTTCGATATAGGGGGCACTTCTTTTTAAGATCGCTGCATCGATGGTGTTGAGTCCCGGAGCTCTTCCTAACCTTTGTCTGTCTATTGCCAACCGCAGGTCCCAGGAAACTCTCTTCTGGCGTCGCACTCCGCCCTTATATAGCCTATACTTGCCCCGGCATTCTTTCCGGAGTGCTGCTTTCTTCCACCCTGCACTTTTAGTATCTACGCCTGGCCCTGTGATACTCCTTTTGAATTCTGTCAGCGCTGGAGTCCACCATGGAACGCACTATTTCCTCATCCCATTTTCTTTTCGCTGTAGTGGTGATCACTGTCGTTTAACTTGAATCTAATGGTTCCGTGGTCGGACTCTCGACTCCTTTACTTGTTTGTTCCTTTTACATTTTAAGGTTATCCCTTTTACATCTCTAAATACCAGTGTACTAACCTAACAAGGTTAACTATTTAATTAGTTTGGAATAATTTTAAAATAATATAATAAAATAAAATAAAATAATATAATATAATATTGTCTATTATTCTACAGACTACTAATTCTTTGTTAGTATGAACTGTCTTAAAATTGAAACTAACAATTGCATTATCTTAAATCGAATATAATAGGATATAATAAACTAATAACACATTATATATACATATACAAGATATACTTGTAAATGAATGATGAATGACAAATATAATGGTATAAATAAACTCAGTGAGTACAATAAATATAAAGGTATAAATAAACTCAGTGAGTATAAACCATAGATATGAAACAATATAAAAGATAAAAATCAATATAAAGGATAAAAAAAACAACAAAAAAACACTATAAATATATGCGTTGATGTTTAAATTGAAACTAACAATTGCATTATCTTAATTCGAATATAATAGGATATAATAAACTAATAACATATAGAATAAACTACTAACACATTATATATATCAATATACAATATATACTTGTAAATGAAAGATGAATGATAAATATAAAGGTATAAATAAACTCAGTGAGTACAAACCATAGATATTAAACAATATAAAAGATAAAACTCAATATAAAGGATAAATAACCAATATAAAGGACATAAATAACAATATCAATATAAAGGAAGTATAAATATAAAATCTATATCACTATAAGGGACGTAAATAACAATATTTGCAGTATTAACAATTTTACCAAGGCTACTTGTATTTACACTTACTAAGGGATAACCTAACAGGCCACGTGGCAGCATAAACTACTAGTTTTACCTTTGAACTGAAGGTCTTGGTTATTGTTCAGCACACCACTACACACGCGAAACACCTCTATCAAGTTTATCAATACTAATATTTCGATAAAAGCTGCGATTCCAAGCCCCGTGGGGCACCTCGTGGTGTTATTTTCGCACGTCACGCACTTATTCTTTGTCTAAATCGTTTCAATTGTTATAAGGAAATGCAAGCAAACGAACTAATCAGTTTTTAACAAATATTTTCCAAAATAACTCACTTTTCCTAGAAAAACACAAAACAGATGCGCTCCAACGCCCTAGCTATCCCCTTCCCCTCCACCCCTGTAGATCCGCCCTTGGTCAGAATCGAAAGAAATGTGTTTTAAAGACTAACTTCCCTGTATATTTTGATATTTCTATGCTTCCCAGAAAGCCAGTCATCAGGGCAGCACTCTTCAGTTGAAGCATCTTTCTGCTGTTCTGATCGTCTCTTTTATCTTGCCTTCGACCTATCCATACTCATTCTGATGGGATCGAAGATACTTATATTCGCTCCTCTGTTCTATTTCCACTTCACTAAGCCTTAACATTCTGTCCGCACGGTTGTTTTTCCTTTCTATCCTCATAAATCTGTTTTTTTGTTTTTTTTCTTAATTGATTACCACATCTATCATCTTTAGCTCTTCTTTGAGGATTGGAGGTTTCTTCAATCAGTCCCAAATATGTCAACAAAAGCTAGTGTTTTGTAAGTTACCTATTGGAGTCTTCTGAAGCTCAGTTGAAACGGTCTTATATTTGGTATAGATTTTTTGAGAATGATGTCCATTGTAATTATGATAAATTAATTGCAACCCAGCCTGATGCCGATACTAAACATCATTGAAGATGTGGTGGCATGTTCTTACTACATTTCTCTGTTTGAGGTATAGACATATCATAGCATGTTTTAGTCCCATTTCTACTATCATCTTCTGCAACGCCTGTTCTGTATCTAATACTCTGACTTTGTCAAAGGCTATGGACAGGTCGATAAAAAGAGCATAAGTTTCCCTGTTTTTCTCAATGGCTTTTTCTCAGTTTTAATGTTGATATTAGATCTTGACAGCCTTTGTTTTGCCTGAATCCGTATTGCGTATCATTCAGAAGTGGTTCGGTTGTTGTTCTCAGGCGGTTCTCTAGAATTTAAGATGTAGACTAAATGTACGAGACTTCTATAGGAACTCTTGATCTTTGAGTTTAAGGTATATAAGTCCTCCCCTCGTCTTTTTAGGCATACCAAAGGTTAAAGGTTAGAATTTTTAACGAAACCTATTCTAACAAAAGTGGAATGGATCGAGATCCGTTTCGTGAGATCGTTTCGAAATATATAATACAGCCCACTCAGGTTAGAAACGGCTTCGCAATAATTTAACTAAGTTATCTATAGTAGGGCTTGAACCCGAGTCCCTGAGAATAAGAGCACATGCCTTACTCTCTAAGCAATCCTGCTCCCTTAATCCTCTTTATAATTGATTAAAAAACAAAGAAACATATACATTCCTATTATAATTTTTCCTCACACCATGCAGGAATGAAAAAATAAACAAATCGAAGGTCGAATTTAGTGCGATTTCTTTTGTCTTTATTAATTTTCTAATTGGAACAGTCATTAATAATATCACTATCCTTCGAGGAGGGGAGGGGCCTAACAATTTGGAGGTGGAACGCCCCAGCCAATGAGAATGCTCGGAAGGAGGTAGTTCCCCCACCATCCGCCCCCCATTGCTGGAGACCTTAACAGGGCCAGAGCATTCACTATCTGTTCAGCTACTTTGCCAACTACAGCATGGAGAAACATTGTAACTCACGGTCTTCCACAGGTGTGTACATATTTAGTTTCTTTTATTTTAAATAATAATAAGCCTTAATATTTTGCATTTTATTACTAATTTCAAATTTAGAAAAGTATATAGTAGTAAAATTACATTTGAATCAAGAAGCAATATTAATTCTTTACTCAATATATGTAAAAATATATTTTTTTTCTTTTGTATTTCAGATCGCCGATCTAACAAAAGCTTAAAACAGTGGAGGACACTTCGAATGGGGAGCTTCGTCGCTAACGCTTTGGAGTTCCTTTCCACCTCTAAGAGAGGAGCCATCATCAAAAAACTTCATGATGTGCAGGACCTGTATAGGGATGGCGGTGAATGGATTCTCGGCGAACACAGCAAGTTGAGCTGGCAACTGTTGAGATTAGAACACTGTAGAATGGTAAATATCTTTTAATTGTTTTCAACTAATCGATGATATTTTCTACTATGTGCAATGCCATCACGATTATTAACGGTTACGTTCTGTTTGCTATTAGGACCCCGAGAGGTACGCTGACCCCGACAGAAGCCACGACGTGCCCCTCAGCTACAGCGACGCATTGATCACATTTGTCGCTTCCTTACCTGGGCCTAACAGGGAACTCTTCCTGAATGACCTCTGTAATCTAATCGCGAAAGTTATTTCTGATGTAACATTATGATTTATAATAATAATAATAATATAATATATATAATTATAATTATATTTTATTATCTAAATTCTTTGATTTATGTAATTTTCAAATAGCTAGTCGATATTGTGTATTTTTTTTTAAATTGACTGGAAATAAATATAAGATTTTGCTATGTAAATATGTTCAAAGTGATGTAAATTGTATAGGACTATTAAAGCATTTGTAATTATGTAATTTTAATTTTTTTGGCGGAAATGTGTTAATATGACTACTGAAATAGAGTTATATTTATTCTTATTAAATATGTAAAAAAAAGTATGCCAACTGTATTTTTTTATATCTTTATTTAGAATAAATTTTGTATATTAAAAATTAAATTATCTATTTATTTTACCCATTCCCTTTAAGTGTTTTGTACATAGTTAGAATTCATGTTTTTTAAATTAAAAATTTCCTTTTTTAATTTATTTTATGAAATTAATCCTTTTTATAAAATTAATAATTAATTTTAAAATATTTATAAAGCTATGGCTTGGCTGATGACCAATTTGAAACTTTCTACAAGATTTAAGGATTATATTTATACTAGTGTTGCCCAAATGCGAGACCGAGACGAATCTTGGTCTTGCAAACTCAGTCTTAGTCATAATCTTGACTATAATAGAAACCTAACTAAGCCAGAATAAAAAATGCAAAAGTATATTGGTTAAACCAATTATTAACATATAGTAACTAAGATTGTCAAGTATTAGTAACCATTTTGCCTTGATTTTTTTTACCGATTCTGGTCTTGGCCTTGCAATAGTTAGGCGGCAGTGCTCTTGGTCTTGCAGAGTGCCAGACCAAGACCGATTTTGGGCAACACATTAGTGTTGATAGTATAGGTAATAGTTGAACACACTATTAAGTGACATTGAAATTCGTCCCGAACTGATCACAAATTATTATCAGCTAGGCATAATCTAAATTTTAACTTTTAAAATATTTTATAGAAGTTTTTTGATAATGATTATATTTCTATCACGACACTTCACTAAAATTAGAATTAAGAGTCTACCATTAAGTACATGGTGCTATGTTCCTGGCCTCGCGTTTCTACTGCGAGTAAGGGGTTCCAGGAACCGCATTTATTTGTATTTATATGTATTTATATCGGTCCCAGAAGGGAACCGATCAACTTAAAATATATTAATGATGTATTTAAATGTTAGATACCACAGACCCCCTACTGTAGTATCCTAGATTGAACCATATACTCTTTATTGGATTTCCTTTCTAAAGGTATCATGTTTATAAATGTACTATTTGTTTCTATTACTAATTGGTGGCATGCAAGGTAGAATGTAAAAGTACTACGTTGGTTTACTAACTATTATATTTACAAGCTTGAATAAAACCAAAACCATCTATATACAAAATAATAACTAAACCTATATACATAAGAATCATACTGGAGGAGAATGCTTGATGTTTAATTAAAGTTACGTGTTATATTGATTATATTAATTAATGATGTATGGTTGCCAACACAAATTTACATTAGTATAAGTAAATGCTTGTTACCACTTAGCTGGTCCTTCATAGTGTTTCTAGGTGTTTCTAGCCGTCATATCTGGATTCCCTGTCTCTGCTCTCCTTCAGCGTCTGGTCCGTCCATCTGCTCTCTCCGGCTGTCTTCATCTTCCTCCCTCGACTCCCCAGAAGAAGTCCTCTCAGCTCTGAGTTCCACGAAGAAGTCTCCAGTCCAAATTCTCGATTTCCCACCTTTTTTCATCCCCCTCTCTTTTGGCAGTCTTTTTCCTGATTGGCTGAATATTCTCAGCCTAAGGGATGACCACGCCCTCTCCCCCAGGCCAAGGTAAAGCAGCAGGTACAGACTTAGGTATTTCTGGTGGAAGGTGTGAAAAGGTCTTTTGGGATCCTTTTTAAACACTTAGTTGTCGGTCTTTGTCGGTGGTCCTTAAGGGTTTTTATTACCACTTACAAAAGGTTGTCCTAATGGGTTACCCTCAGTCAGGTACCGCCAGATGTGGCCACTTATTTTATTTTTACTTATTTTTACTTATACATTTAAAATAATTATTCCACCGGCGGTCTTTACACTACATAGCAATGGAATCATCTATCTACCCATCTTTGTCTCCATTTTATTTTTCTCGCTCTTCCTCAATGAATTTGAAAAATAAAGATTATAAAAGACCACGGGATCTAATAAAAAAAAACAAAAACAAATATACATAAAATAATGTATTACTAGAGATTTTTGTAATCTTAATATTTCATTAGAGCACTTATGAAAAAATATGTTTAACATCTCGGATAATACAATGGTCTATAGGTCACAAAAAGAATGAGTTTTGATTCACAGAATTTCAGAAATGACATAGAAATAAATTTCACAAGGAAATTCTCCCCTCCCCCATAAATACTAATCGATTTTAGTTTACGCATTTGATTCCTCATATAGATTATCTGTTATCATCATCAAAAAACTACTGTTCATTCATACAAAGTTAATGATAGATTAGATAAAATAATATGAAAGATCACTGAAAAACGCTCATGATATATAAGTTAGATCAGCTTGAAAGTTTTTCATAGGTTTAAATGATTTTCATAGAAATATTAAATTTATATATGAACTTTAGGATAGGTTTTTGAACTTACGTGTAATAAATGATAATCTTATCATAAGAACTATGTGGACCAGGTCTGATTACAGCCAGTGTGTCTTAAAGATATTCCAGGCCAGCAATGCTTAACCGTTAGCAAATGCTTAATATCTGACTGAGTTCTACCTCCTTCATCCCTTTTTCTATCTCCAGACTAGTAGGCTTTTGAGAATGTCTTCATGATTTTATCTAGCACTATGTTTAATAAAATAGGAGATACTCCGTCGCCCTAGATTTAGTCTTTTAACATCGAACGCAGTACATATTTCCTTCCTTAACATCAGTTTAGAGTATGATTCGATCTGGCTGAACACCACTACACATATGTATAACACATTACCAACAGATTTTAATATTAGATGATATTCCTAAAGATGCCTGGATTGGCAATAATTTGGATTTTTTTATAACAAAATATGTTTTGACTGAGATCTAAATCATTTATTGGAATTTTATATTTAATTATTTAAAAGAATATCAATTGAATGTTTTAACAAATAAAAAGGAAATGGACGTTCACATCGAAAACGAAATTCATGGGTTATGTAAAAGATTTTGCAAATGCTATCGGGAACTAGCCTGCCAGCAACACTTGTCATAAATAATATCTAGTGAAGGTATTGCTATCAATAATATTTATTACCCACCTACCTTGCGAGCACTGAGGTACCTTCGGCGGCTGGCAGGAACAAAGGTATAAAGGATAAACTTTAAAGGTTCAATTCAAGAGGTAAAATTACCGGTCGGTGCCTCCAACCGGTCGTTTGGATTGATCGTTAGGAACAAATAGCATTTTCAAAGAAAGGAGATGGTCCGGCGTTGCTGTCATAAATAGGCTAAAAAGCACCAAAAAGGGGCCTAGCTTGCATTAAGGTCGTATAATAAAAATTCCGTTTTTGTATTGTCAGGTAGGTAGTGACTGTAACTGTTTTCCAATTATTTCAATGAAATTAGCCACCAGCAATGACTGTCTATCTTGTTACTTTTAAATGAGCTTTATTGTAACACATTTTTTAATAATTAATATTATCCAAAGTTCGTATCTTTGAGTTCTTAAGGATTGTTGTATTCTGAAGACTGAACGATTTCTTCACAGACAAATATTTTGGACAATTGAACTATTGTATAAATAACTATGCCTATAACTATGCCACTTATGACTACAGAGTGATGTGGCAAAGGACTCTAGACGCCTAATAAATATATGATTCCATCTACTTTTTCAAAAACTATATTGAACCCCCTTTGCTCACGGTGGATATTTGAAAGAATTTCTTTTAATTTATGGAATGCTACGTAAATTCGTATTTGACAGTTTTTCATGTGAAAAATATAAATCTCAATTTGGTTTTTACTTAAAAAAAATTTTGAATCCCATTTATTCCTTCGGTTGGTACAGCTTGTTACATTTCTATACTGTAGCAATATGCTAAATATAATTTTGGCATGACAGCGATATCTGGAAAATAACAATTACATTTTTATTTAACTCTAATTAAATATCGTAACGAACAAGTTTCTTCGATTTTAATGATACTTTTCCCTTTAAACTTGTCTTTTTGTAAGAAATTGTTTGTTATTTTTGAGTTATTGTTCATTTGTTACTTTTGGTTTAAACCTCATTTCGGAGGAGTCTGTTGTATACATAAATTAGAAGGGCTTTAAGGAATCTATAGCCAATCAGGTTTTTCAGCCGCCATTGAGAAACAAAATGCCGGATAGAAATGATATACATTTAAAAACACTTCTAAATTTGATTCCAACGTTTATCGAAATTTCCAAACAATAGATGAAGGGCTTTCAGTGATTAACGATTTTTAACATTTAAATTTTTATTTATATGCACTGCTTTCAATTACTTACTTTCACTTGCCTATATGTGTAATATGAAGTAGTGTAGTAAGAGAAAGTATTGCGATAGCGAACATTTTCGAATCTGATTTTTCAACGGAAATACATGTTTTGAGGTTCCATGTGTCCTAATAACCAACTCCTGCAAAATGGTCTGTATGTCTGTGTATATGAACCGTCTAGATAAAAAACGAATAGTTGTACGAATCTGATATTACGTATTTAACATAGGTATGTGACTGAGATGTTACAGCAACGTTTTCCTTAAAATCGGCTGACCGGAAGTGCCACTTTATACCAACGGTAAACCACATTTTACAATTTTTTAAAAAATGGCTAAAACGATTTTGATTAAACTCGGTGCATCCTTGTATAATTAAGTGCTTTTTTATATCATTCAAGTCTTATCCCCATTGATGTCACTTAACTTGGCTTAAATACTCAATGCTCATATACGTCTTTCTCTAAAGTACTTTTAATATGGTTTATTTAATAAATTAGCTCTCTTTTATTGACGGTAACTATTCAAAATAGCAAAATATGAAGTTTGACAGAATATGATAATTCGAAACTGGAGAAAAAAAAAAAAGAAAAATTCTTGCTTATCCACTTTGAAAATGAATCTCCGGAAATAACAGTCAGAACATATATGTATAATATATCGTTGGAAACCGAAGAGTTTTAGAAAAAAATAATATCAAATAAATAAAGTTGTACAAGGTAAGGAGAGTGCCAAAAACATATAAATAATCATTTGAGAAAACTGACATTATTTTACGTAAATCATCTGCATTTAAGGAAATAAAATGTAATTTTCTTAATAAATGTAAACTTTTCAATCTGAAGGAATATATTTAATGAGTATGAAAACGAAAAATTTTTTTTTTAGATAACACTAAAGTTCGTCAATAGCTACTTAACCAAAAATGAAATTCGTTTGAGAAAAACAGATTGAACTCGTTTGCCATTGCCTATTTTTACTTAACGAACACAGACATTACACCTAGGCCAAACTATTTATTTTATTTCAGCAGATAGGAAACATTAAAAATCATTAAAAAAACAACACTAATATAGGGAAAAGAATCGTTTATATGATGATTTTTCCCATTTTCTGAGTAATATCAAAACGCACATTAATGAAAACATACACTTTCATGACACATACACACAGCATTCTGACCACATTCTGCTTAGCATTATTTTTTTTATAGATACAATCAGATTTTCATCTGATTTTAGAGAATTTTAAAGGAAGGTTCATGTTATAATTTGAAATCATTTGAATTAATAATTTTAAAATAAATAAGATTCCTGGATGAACCAAGAAATATGATTATGTAACAATTTTTAAAAATCAATTATTAACTTTTCTAAAATACACAGTAAACTAAGAAAAACAAAAATGGATGATTTTATGTCGATATATCAGTAACACCAATGGTTCAGAACATTGATAAATCGATACTTGTGCTATGACAAGGACTCAAGGTTTAATAAAGGTATCAATGTGGTCCGCAGACCAAGAAGGCTCAGGGACTTCCGGTATAAAGTAAGACCGAATCTGACTTTTATATTGCTTTTTAAATGAAACTATCCAACATAAGGCTTGGTAACACTGTTAAATGAGTAAGAATAAAATTCACTTCTATTCTCAGTTTTCATTTTAACAGTACTGCAAAAATCGCTAGGACATACACCTGGAGCCTTCATTTCCATAAAGGAGGTAAAACGTTGCCCAATAAAAGTTTCTTCAACTTTTCCAAAGCTACCTGAGAACAGGAAGCATAAAAAATTTTAGAGCTCAGGATTGCATTCCCATTCCGTTATTACCAACCTGTCTTGAAGACTAATGCATTCCAGTCCCTGCAATAAACCTTAGTATATGGTTTAGTAATTTTTAAGGGCTCTTAATTACCAAATTTCAGAGGGTTCTTTTAGACGAGATTTCCAAAAAAAAATTATTTGGTGCCTGGGCTTATTCCGAACTGAAAATTGAGTTTAGAAAAACTTGGTGTTTTGTTAAGGTGGTCACGTTTTTTAATTGAATAACAGGAAATTTCTCATAAATTGTTGCAGCCAAATGAATATTAAGTACACTATTGTAAAGTAGACAACATTTCGTTTTAGAAAACAGCGATTGAATTTCCCGAGGTCAATAATAAAAGGGAATTTCAAGAAGTCTAATAACACAAGGCCTACCATTATGCCGAATTATTGCATGAATCGGGTTTATAGAGATATTCTGCACTGGTATGTGAACTGTAACTGCAGCAGTACAACGGCCGTAGATTTAATTCAAAATATAACTATACAAGAAAAGGCTTGGTAATATTATTTAATGAATAAGGATAGAACTCAAATTCATAAATGTTTATATTTTACTTTATAATCATCACAAAATTGTTACATCCTGAAGAGGATTCTACCGAATTTTAATAATTGGTAATCATTATTTATAAAGAGTTCGCTTATGTGATTTTGTAGTTTCTTTTATTAATTTTATTTTATTCGCTATAAAAGTGATACTTAGATGTTGTCTTTATCTGTTATTTATCCCAGCGGATTGAAGGGGACGCTTTCCGGATTGAAGCTCCCCCGAAATAGGAAAATAATTGTTCTCATAGCTCAGTTGTAAGCAAAGATAAAGTCACGATGTTAAACTCACGATCGTCAAACAAAGAGAAATTATCTTTAACCATTCTTATGGAATTTAGTAGCAATATAAAAGAATCACATATTTTCCTGACTCTTGGAAACTATCCATTGTCAAAATGATACCTAAACCCATAAAGCCACCAGAACACCCATCCTCTTACCGTCCTATCTCTCTTTTACCTATTATGGGCAAAATCCTGGAAAAACTCATCTTAACACGCCTGTATCCCATCCTAGACTTTAAACACATTATCCCAGATCACCAATTTGGATTGGATGTTAACAGTGTCACATTTACTTGTTGTATTTCTCATGTAATACAGTTGTAAATTTCTTAAAAATAAAATAAAATAAAAGTATTACAAACTTTTCAAACATCTGAGAGTTCATATTTTAAAAATATTAAATATATACAATCAACTTAAATGAATAAACTAAATTAAGAAAATTAAACATACCTATATTACTCCGGTAACCAAAAACGACAGGAAAATACAAACAAATTAAAAAGAACGAAGATAAAGCTTTTTTAGTGCTAATAAAATAGCCTTATCAAACCGTAAAAAAGTTCGTTCCAAAGAATAAGTAAGATTTTATTCAGAATTTTTAACACGAAATTGTGCAATTGGCAAATTTTTCCCAAAAAACAATAGTCCGTGGTACAGACGCCGAATGAAATTTCGTGAATAGGTTCCTCACATTGTAACCTACAGATATTTTATTTACAAAAATTTTCGGAATTGGGACGTTTTCAATCTGGAGAACGGGATAATTTCTCTATTAAATTATTCACTAAAAACTGGTAAATAATTATTTGCTTTCCACTTGAATCGTAAAATAATTTGAGTGGACTTCATAAATATTGAGTCGTTTGGGGTGGACTACACCCCCAAAATATCAAAATACCGAGTTTATATACGCCAAGTGGTCCAATATTTTTGTAGACCACTTTTTTCTTGGATTTGGTGATCAAATTCTTTTAAGATCCAAGTGGGAATAAACGGGTATTGACGAGTGTTTAGTCCTCTCTAGAATGTCCTCTCTGATCACTATTATTATTGTCTTTAATTGTGACAGATTGTAATATTTCTGAATAAATAAAAAAAAAAACTGTTATTCTTTTGTTTTCTTATTGTTTGAGGTGGATGGCTCCGAGTAATTTTCTATTGTTATTTTCAGTTTTGTTCCTATTATTTGTGTTCTATTGAAATTGAATTTGTATTGTAATCTTATACTATGGTATGCTAATGCCGTGGATTTCGTTTTTCTTTTGTGTTTTTGCTGTTGGAAATGTACTGTGAAATTCTGGTTTTTAGTTGTTTTAATGTTTCACTAAAGTAAACTCAAGTGACTAACTAAATCAACCATTTTAATTTTCATTCTGTGAATATAATTAATTACATTATTCATTATATTCATTCATTCATTATTCATTATAATTACAGTATTCTATAAACCAATTGATGAACGGTTCCCGAGGTGTTCCATTTTTAGTATGATCTTCAACATTGGAACGATCAAGAGTGGAACTGCTGTTATTCTATTCCCAGTGTGTTCATTAATGCTATATTATGTATAATATATATTATGAAATGTGATATTATTCAAAATCGCCGTTGAAGTTTCCAAACGTGAACATTTTATTTAAAACGCCGTTTCCTATCTCCATGGTTTTTGTCTTCATTTCTAGTTCGAATCAAATATTCAATAACCTTCGAGGAGGACTGTAAGCATTGGCGCAGGCTTTCAATTTTGATTGAGATGGCGACGGGACAAAAAAAAAAAACATTGGAGGAAGTTTTTAGTATTTGTAGAAATTCAACATAATTGTTGTGATACGAACAGATATAATATTGAATATTTAAAATTTATCTGTTTATAATATTAACATAATATATAAATATATATATATATATATATATATATATATATATATATATATATATATATATATATATATATATATATATAAATATAAATCGTTAATAATAAATTACGATATAAACATATCATGTTTACAAAGTCGTAAGGATATTTATTTATTTTTTGTTTGATTATTATATATACTTGATCTTCAGAAAGTGCTATTGAATTGTATTTGTTCAGATTAAACACAGGGGAGAGGGGAGACAGTCTTCACAGCATTGGTATGTTTATAGTATGTTTTCAGATAATAATAAATAATGCAAAAAAGAAAAAAATATCTTTGATTTTATATTGAGTACAATCTCAAACAAAAATACAACGTTTTTCATAGACCGACTTGTTTGTCGCTTAAAATATTGTATGAATTTCAAGTGAAAATTGAATAAAAAATAATATTTAGGTATCAATAAAATATTTACATAACTATTACTAGGGCCTCTATCCTAGCCAGCTAGTAGATTTTTCATTATTGATTTTAGTTTAGGAATTTTATTCATTCATATAGCTTGTTTATTGTTGATTTTAATTTGTTTTCTTCAAATTATTGGGAGGGGGGCGAAACGATATTCATACCCCCTCAACATTTTTATTTGGGGGCGATCGCCGAGATTGTTGCGGAGGATTCGGGTAATGAGTAAGATTCTGTTGATAACAACATTACCACGTTTTAAATTAAATTTAAGTATATTACAACAGTTTACAGAATTATTAAAATATAAAGATGGGTTTTTTGAAACTATATTAACTCCATTGTTGACTGGAAGCTGTTATAACAGGTATAACCTCAAACTTTGAGGGTACCAACAGGTACTTTTACTTTTCGAATTAGGACATCATTTAAACTTATACTGTAAACCTTTGTACCTGGGAGCCGCCAAAGAGACTCAGCAAGACCCGGAAGGTAGGTGTGTAATAATTTGTATACATACTTATAACTTCACTAAACATTATTTATTCCAAGTGTTGCAGACAGGCTCGTTCCCAATAGGATTAGCTAAATCTTGTAACTAACCCAAGCATGTTATTTTTACAAGAACTTATCTATAACAAAGTTTATACATTTTCTTTTTATTTGTTAAAAAATAGAGATTAAAAAAAAAACTACGGTATGTTCTTTAGACCACACAATAGAAGTGAAAACGTCAACAATGCAAAATTAAAAAATATGAAATATAATCTCTGTTTGTTCTACATTAACAATTCATATAGTTGTGTATAAAATCCATTATTTTATCTTTATTCACTAAATAAAAACATTTACAATACATAAAATTATAACTGTGCATACATTACTGCAGTAAAATTGGCTCTGACTGATCGTCATTTGTACCTTTCTCTAAATAGGTTCATCATAGCTAAAATATGTGATCAATATTTTTGATTGAAGTTTATTTCTAAATATCAATCAAAAACTCAATCATTTTTTTAATATAACCTCTGCAAGGCAATGGATCAGCTGATGCGAAGGTTGTCTCCTCAACTCCTCTCTCAGTTTTTGCCTATTTTATAGCGGAATCTTTCTGATTATTCAGTTGAAGTGTGCATCAGAGCAGTTGATATTTACTATTGACATCTTTTTTTTTGTAATTTTAATTTTTTCTTTTTTTTTTTTCTTTCTTCCTTTTTCTTTTTCTCTTATGATATGCGGTATGATCAGCAAGTGATGGCCAGTAAGGAGCCCAAGAGGACTCGGTCAGACGGCGTTAGTACACCACGTAGTTCACCAGCCAAACAAAGGACTCGTCGCTGCCTACGAGAAATACCTTCAGTGACCAAAGTGAACACTTCAGAACCAGAATCTCAGCCCCAACCAGGTACGTCTTCGCAAGAAATGATCAAGAATCTCCTTTCTTTACTCCAAATCCCTACCAAGTGCTTCAAAATGACCGAGAAGTAATAGAGTCTGCAGCAATACCAAGAGAACCAAAGCCTCCTCCGATAGTTGTGAAAAATATAAAAAATTTCCAGATGTTCTGCACCCAACTAAATAAAATCTGCTCTGGCAGTTATTCATGCCTTAACAGGATCAATGACACCAAAATAACACCTGATTCTGCTGAAGCCTACCGAAAAATAGTGAAGTACTTATCAGAATTAATTGCGAATTTTCACACTTACCAGCTGAGGCAGGAAAGAGCGTTACGAGTAATGATAAGAAATTTACACTCCTCAACCCCCACTGAAGTTATTAAAGAAGAACTAACGACGCTTGGTTTCAATGTACGCCAGGTAACAAACGTTTTGAAGAAGGACAGGGAGCAGCCAGGATTACGAAATAGGATCCCACTACCATTGTTTTTCGTGGACTTGGAGCCATCACCAGGTATCGAAGAAATATATGATATCACAAGAATATACTACACAATGGTGAAAGTTGAGAAGCCATACTCCAAGAGAGACATCGTGCAATGCCATAATTGTCAGACCTGTGGCCACACGAAGACATATTGCCAAAATCTCCCGCGTTGCGTGAAGTGCGGAGAACAGCACAAATCTGTTGAGTGCACCAAACCTATACAAGATCCAGCAGTATGTGCCCTATGCTTGGTGGGACACCCGGCCAACTACAAAGGCTGCCAAATTTACAAGAATCTCAAAACCAGACACCAGAAAAAACGGATTCAAGATGAAGCACTAAGAACAAGAAGAGAGAGAGAGAGCCTTCCAGAATTGTAAACAATGATGTATCATTCTCCCAACTACTTAGAGATAAGACTTCAACCAATAAATGTCAAGCCCTGTGTGGGCATAACTAGCCAATAGTGCAATCGATACAATAAGATTTTCTGTTTAGCTTTGCTCCTCCATCCTCTGTGGTGGAGCTTCTTCTCTTCTACCCAAATAGAAGTGGGCTGGGCCAATGATGTCTTTCCACCCGTACACAAAGGCCTTGTAGGGCGGGTAGTTCTCTCTGGTCAGTAGCTGAGGGAGATCGCGCTCTGATAATACATAGAGCCCAGTCTCCCTCAGCAACTTAGCCCTCAGTGCCTCATCGGCGGTCTCCGGTACCCTACAACTTGGGCATAGGGGATCAATGTTCATACCATGTTGAACAAGCTTTGCTCGGAATCCCCCATGCTCCGTGAGGAATTGAGAGACCCAATAGTCCGGGAGGAGCCATGTAGTTTCCATTCTTGAACCGACGGTGGGGAAGTATTTCCTTAGGGTTGATCCTTTTCCATCATCCAACGCCGGTTCCATTCTTCTAATGTGCATTCCCGGAGAATCCTCTTCCATCTGCTTGGGTCTTCACTGATCCTCACTCGGAGATTAGCCGGTAGATCCACCAAGCCAACTATCTTTATTTCTTGCCGAAAGTAGTCTTCACGAAGTTAAAGATCGATTGGAATACTTCCGGCTAAGACTTGTACCGCCTCATGAGACACTGACCGGTACGCCCTAGTGACACGCAGCAGAGCCATACGCTGGATTGTCGCCAACCTTTTCTTCTGTTGGTGCGAGAGGGTCTGACTCCACGCAGGGGACGCATATCTCAGGATACCCAAGATAACTCCGTTATAAATAGCCAAAGTGGCTGGGTATCTGAGACCCCAAAAGGCGCCCCCGATGCGACTCAGTCCATTAAGAGCCAGGGCCAATCTACTTCTCAGATAGTCCAAGTGAGGGGTGAAGTTAAACTTTCTTCCAGTCCTTATCCCAAGATAGGTGACAGCCTCACTTGGACGTATCGTTTCTCTCTGTATATTCAGAGTGATAGGGTGGGCTCTGTCAGTCTTACCCCTCAAAAGAACGGACTGAGTCTTTGAAGCCGCCATCTTCATCTTCTTTCTCTCGCACCATTCTCCTACTAGGTTGGCGCACCGTTCAGCCTCTTCCTTTAATCTGGCTCTGCTGTTCGATGCCACCACGACTGCGAGATCGTCTACCTAAGCAGTGGCGGGGAACCGCTGCTCTTCCAGTACTCCCAGCAGCTCGTCAAATACCAGTTTCCACAAGGCTGGACCTAGTACAGATCCTTGTGGGCATCCTCTTTCCACAGAATCCTCTACAGCAAAGAAGTTCTCTTTTATCATTAATTTACGGTCTTCTAGATAGCTTCTTAAGAGGTCGTACAGGTTGCTGGGAGCTTCATACTTTTGCAACTGCTGGAGTACGCTCGGCCACCAAACGCTATCGAGGGCGGAGGATATATCAAACAGGAGAAGTATTACATACTTCTCCGCCTTCTCTTCAACGTCACGGCGCACCCTGAGCAGAGCATCTGCGGTTCCCCTACCTTTAGTGCATCCGTACTGTCGTGGATGGCTAGCTCTTAAGAAGACTGGTCGTAGACTCCTCATCAGCAAGGTCTCCAACAATTTACTCATTATAGGGAGGAGACATATAGGCCTATATGACTTCGCTAACTGCTTGTCCTTATCTCCTCCCTTATAAAGGAGTCTAACATCAGCAATCTTCACTGCACAATGCTAACAGCCTTTGTTCAATGTAGTTGATACTATTCCTTAGTATTGCTGTGTCTATCGAATCCAAGCCAGGAGCTCGACCAGTCCTTTGCCTATCCACGGCAGCACGGAGATCCCATATGTTCCATGGTGGGCATAGGTCCGTACCTGGTGGGCATACCGTAGTGCGTCTAATGTATCTCTCCTCTTCATTATCTTGGGACGGATCATCCCTGGGGTAGGTTTCCGCAATGAACGTTTTTGTCGTCTCCTCCAGAGTGGTTGACTGAGTAGCTCCGCGTTTCAATGCGGCTATTACCTGTTGTGGATTTAACTTACCCAAGGCAACTCTGTAAGGGATACCCCAGGGGTTCTTGGACGATTCTTCAATAATGAACTCGTCCCAAGACTTCCTTTTCCGAGAGCGCACTTCGTTTCGGTATGCTCTGGACTTGGACCTATACTCGTCGCGAAGTGTGGCGCGCCTCTCCTCACTACCACACTTTTGATAGGACCGCCGGACCTTGTAGAGCTCTCTCTTCATAGCAGTTAAGGCCGGCGTCCACCATGGGACAGGTGGACTCTCACCTTCCGTTGCTGGAGGGATTCCTCAGCGGCGTCACGGATGACATCTGTGATCCTAGAGATCCTATAATCTAGACTATCTGTCTGGTCCGTTTCCGCTTCATCCCATTCTTCATCTACTAATTTTTCCTCCAGCGTTGACCGGAAGGCTTTCCAATTTGCTCTTCGGGTTAAATAACCCATAGCGATGCCGTGGGAACTTTCCATATTTTCCACCAGCTTAAAAGCTATCGCTTGGTGGTCGGAACTTGTCTCAGATCGGATGATCCAATCGTTGATGCCAGTGTTACATCAATCCAGCTCTGCCCTCGAGCGCTAGAAAACGTTGGCAAGGCAGAGAGATCATTCATTACCACTAGCTGGCTTCGGCCAATGAATTCTTCGAGTTTAACGCCTCTTCTATTCGTTTGATTGGATCCCCAGACCGTGTTCCAGGAGTTGGTATCTGAGCAGATGATGATGTTTCTATAGCAAGCCGTGATCATCTCCATGGCGGATATGTCGTTGTCTATATCACCTCCGTCAGGAAGATATGATGAAACCAACGTGAAGGTAATATTACCCCATTTGATATAACATGCGACACAATCCGCCGTTGTAAACTGCCTCAGATCCATCACATCGAGGTTTGGGTTATTTACCACTATGGCTGCCCTGGGCCTCCTCTCTCCACTGCTCAGGGCTATAACCCTCGATGTGAGGCCAAACCCCGTGACCATGTTCCCATGGCAGCTCGGTTCTTAAATCGCCATAACATCATAACGTCCAACAAGAGCCCTCAACTCATCCGCTACGATGCGACGACGGCCCATGTTGAGCTGGACAATGGTGATATTATTCATAGTAGGTCGTTTATTCTTCCCAACAAAAATCTCGTTAATTCAGCTGAGCCCCATGAGTGAGGGACACA